CCGCCTAACATGGGTCGTACCTTGATTCCGGTGGCTGTTTGGAATAGTCGGGCCTGGGTGAAGAAGACTACTAAGGAAGTTCGATGATGGAGCTGGACGCTCCGTATTGACTCTTTGAACGCCAGTGTTGACAGTTGCGAGATCTGTTCCATTGCTAACAGCTGTTGCATTGGAATTCCGACGGTGAACTCGTTGTGCTGCATCCAGAGCTTCCTTCTCTGCTAAATGCTCGCTTGGCAACAAGATGGCCCGATCGAGCTCGTACGGAAGACCACGATGACGCCCACGAATTTGCATCGCAATAATGACAAGTTTCGAGACAACATTGAATTCGGCAGATAAAGAGGCATCGATTCCCGGATATCCTAGACTCAGACCAACTGTACCGTAGGCACTAACAATCTCAAACAAGACAGAAAACATATTAATAGACGGATCAGTACCTTGGAGGCGGCTGCCTTCAGCGATTGAAATGATGAAAAGGCCCAAGAAAATATACCACAAATCGAAAGACAATTGTCTTCGAAGATGGGCACCGACGTAAGATGGCTCCCCCTCGTCCTCATTTTCCTCTGTTGGCGATCCGTAAATACCCAGTGACTTTTCCTCATAAACGTTCGTACGACGAACGGAAATGGCAATAGGGAGAACAGAAATATACATCATGATTAGATAAGAAACCTGGATGGCAGGATGAAGTTCCGCAAGATTGACAACTCCAAACCCAGCTGTTCTTGTGGAAGCAGCTTGGAACCAACCATCGAGAACACGAATATTGACTGGCAGATCAGTCACAACAGAATTGCCAAGCTAAGATAGGCCATCAGCAAAGTACAATACAACGAGGGATGGGAAAACTTACATCAAGAATAATGAAGAACAGTAAATCGAGCCCGTTCAATATTACAAGAATCCAGAACAGCCACCAAGTCGCCTTACTTGGAAAAAGTAGCGTAAAACATCGACGAGGATGGTCTAGTAAAAATCTCAATTCCTCCCAAACCGCACTGTTTCTGGGCACCCACAATGTGGTGACCCAAATGATGAATCTGAGCATGATCGGAAATCCCGTGTTGCCGATGATAATGAGAAATGACATCAGCAAGAGTGGCCAAATAGCAGTATTGAAAGAGATCATGCTGTCAGGGGTGAGGGTAAATCCCAGATCCGTGAAAGCAGAACTAGCTGTGAATATACTCCACCAAACTCTGCCCTGACCATCTTGCTCGACTATTGAGCCGTAGGTACGACTATTAAGAATCCAAGGTAATAGACAAACAACGGCGAATATACTAAACCCTAGAAAATAGCAAGACAAAATTAAAGCCAAAGATTTCAGTGATCTGTATTCGATTCCACCGAGTTCTTCTCTTTGTTGCTCGGTGAGATCAACGAAGGCTGAGTTACGACCGATGGTTGGTGCCCAACTCAGATAAGGAGTGGGATCCTCCTTTTCGCCAGTAAGAGCTGTTTTGATGCTTTGAAATGTTGGAGCTCTTGACTTCAATTTCGACATGACTGCGCCATTTCCATTTCCCTGAGCATCTGTGGCTTCGGGGCCCTCAGTGTTTCTGTTGTTGCGGAATCTCATCACACCCTTCATGGTAGCGCCTGCAGCTTTCACATCATCCACCGCCCGCTCAACTTTAGGGTGTGTTGGAACTTCGATTGTAACGTTACGCTTCCTTGAGGGATAATGATCTTGCCATTGCGACTCTCCATTCAAAGTGCCACGACCATGGCTTTCCGGTCGAGAATACATAGAACCTCTGCGAGATAACGTCCTTACGACTGGATCTTCCTCCTCCTCTTCAACGGTTTGTGGAGCAACACCAGCGTCCGCATCTCTTGGTCCAGGAATTCGAAGAATAGTTCTGTCTTCTGGATTTCTCTGACGTTCTAAAAAGGCAATATGGTCTTCATCCCTACGACGAACTGGTAATCGCAGCTCTTCGTCGGCCAGACCATTACTCCTCTTTACTTGATCGGCGAATTTAATTTGCGTGTGGTGTGAAGTAGGACTGGGATCGTTCGCGGTCTCCGTACTTGATATGTTACTACTTCCAGAACCATTGACAGCATCTGCCTTGTTTAACGCCTTTTCTTTCTCGATTGCCGCTTGGATGTCATCAATAGCATCCCGATTGTCGCGCAGAACATTTGCTCTTGTCGTGCCATGCATTACAACAATGTTTCTGCCATTGACACCTTTCTCCGCATCTGCAGTATCCGCACCAGTGGTTCTCGATCTCGAGAATGATTTGGCGATGCTCCTTCGGTTTCTCTTGTTTTGGGCAGCAATGTGCTGGAATCGTTTTTCGAACCAGTATAATCGAAGGAAAACGACAAAGGAATTGATCGTGATCGGGTTCGTGAATATCGGTATTAAATATAGGACAATTTGCTGCCATGTGTTGAGGGTGTTAATGTTGATAGTGTTCAATCCACTTTGGGTTGCACAACCACTTGCGAAGAATAGCGCATCTATGTAAGGTATTCCTCCTCGAATATATAAACAGAGAGAACCGAGCAGAGTCATTCCAATGATCCAGAAATCTTTTCAAGACGTTAAGTTAGTGTCGTTACACAATGCGGAGTTTTCCATTATTTGTGTCTCTGTGAACTTACAATGTACAGTGATGAAATTGAAATGGGGGCTTTTGGAAATAAAAGATGGCTTGAGAGCCGCAATATGTTGCCATAATTCTAGCAGAAGAGTGAACATCTTTGCGGTTCTGAAAGAAAAGTTCAACCAAGGAGTGTTGGCAGCGCTCCGCAGAAGATATTAAAATTATCAGCTACTCGAGTTTGATGAATAGTTGGAAATCTCCGTTTGCACGGAATGCATTGTATGAGGGTCGCAGACCCGAGGAAGTCGCGAAGGAAGTCTGCGATAGACTCCTCGGACGGTTTGTTGTATAATGTTTAATGTGGCGAAGCAAAAGGGGAAAGAAGCTTTCGAAGATTAAAAATGACGAGGTTTGAGATTGGTCTTTGTTAGTCTTATCAACACTTGGCAGCAACGCACAATGGTCGTGATGAATCTTTAGCTTTGTCCGTCAACCCAGATCACAACACCTCAATTGGATAATTGTTGGACCAAATCCCTTGAGAAGTTGGTACAATTCGACAGGTCAATATGGAATATGGAATATGGAATATTAAGTGCTGTGTGTGTGATAAGATAAGAAACAGAAAGAGCACAAGGAGAAGGAGAAGGGGTAGGAGAAAGCGAAGAGAAAGTGGACGAGAAAGACGAAGAAGACGAGGAGACTAGGATGACGAAGTGGAAATTGATATGACACGAGCAGCCGGGGGTGAATAGTCTGTATGTTATATTATGTACAATTGGAAGAGAATTGGAAAAGGATTGGAAAAGAAATGGAATAACAAATAGTTAAAGTTTTCCTATGGGCCAGCTAGAAAGATTGTTGGTTTGTGTGGTGTGTGGTAGCTGTACTAACCTTTTCTCTAGCCTCATGATAAGTACGGGACTAGGTACCTACTAGGTAGGCAAAGAAATAAAATTGTTTTCACTTCCTTGTAGAAAACGGTTGATGGATCGTAGAACGTAAAAAATAAATCATTCTTACATGTTCTAGTCCTTGGAAGATCTTCAACCTTCGAATCAACGATTAGATGATGGCGGCTATTTACCGCGATGCATTGAAATTCTGACACATTCGTTTACTACAGCTATTCTATGGTTGACAGGATAAATGGAGGTCCAAAACTTGGACATCTTTTATTCGCTAATGGCCATGGTGAGATGATGTGATGTCCAATAATTATGGTTTCCTCGATGATTATAACCATATTCTTGATGGAGATTCGCTGTAGATAGCCATTTTACCAGTTAAATCCCTTGCTTCTCTCTGACCTCTAGATAACATTAAAGCTGGTATGTACGCTTGACGTACGTACTCACTACCCTAGCCATTCTGTTCGTTTCCCTCGGGAAGAGTACCACATTCGGAGTAAATTTCTTATTGCGCAGTTGCAGATCGTACACCGGTAGTTCAAACATCAGATAAGAAATCATCGAATCTTGAAGCATGCATCATTTAGCATGTGAGCCTGCATTACCGTGGCCAAGATGTCATACATTATTGTTTGAGGATGTTCCATTCGATTGCTCTGAAGCATTCTACCCCTTTCCTCAAGAAATTTGAGAGATGGAAGTAAGAATCAGCCAGCCAGCCTCTTCGTAGGAGGAAAAACAGGCCGGAATTGACTTGACCACTGGCAAACCCTCGAATAATCTCATTATTCCATCCCAATTCAGAGAATTAAATGTTTAATTACTTTTATGGTTGAAGATTATTTAAGGATTTATTAAATATCATTGATTCTTGTATTTTTACTATCGATTGATTTATGGAATTTGGCTTTCCCCTATTGGTTTCCCTTCCACCGTTATAAATTGCTACATATTGACACGACCGGGCCAGTCAAAGCTGCACTTTTGCACGTCAAGGTCGTCCTAGCACAAAGCAACGCGAGTTTGCTGGTAATCTCGATATTGTAACCATGAAACAACCTACGCTCCTCGGTACAAACCGCCCAAGAGTTACACCAGGACACCCCATGGCCATCGCCTATGCCAATCTTGGGGTGCACAAACTTGCACCGCAAGGCCTCCAATATTTCTTGGCGCCCTGCTGGTCCCGGGGGAGCAGCAAAACCAAGCCTTCCATACATGACAGATCACATTGGACAATCTGGTTGATATCACATCTCCAACAATGAGAAGGATCAGTAAGGAAAGGCCTCCAACCAAGATACTTTCCCGAGCACGTTTCACTGCACAGTGGAGAAAAAAGCTTCGATTTATCTGCAATGCCCTTGTCAGCCCAAGGCCGTGTCGATCACACTTCTCCCGTTTACCAACAAACGCGGGCGTCAATTTATTCGGGGTCAGCCCAATGTCTTGGCATTCAATGTGCTTTTCAAATAGGTGGTTTCACATGCATTCAGCGCTTGATAGCGAGTCGTATATGAACATCAATTTATCAAAGAAATTTGTATATGCGTAAGTAAACATGCCCTTGGTATCTCAAAAACAGATCGTTCCTCATTAGCACTCCAACCCATATGTCCTTTTCGTCTTCTATTATATCCACCGTATCGTCGCAATCTTGTCTATTCAACGTCGGTGTGTTCCTATTTTCTGATTTTCGCGTTTGGTTTACACCATCATGACCTTAACCTGCAACAATTGTATCCGGACTCTCAACATCTAGTTGCATACCATGACTGGATTCGAGATGTTCCAATCCCCCATCAACAACTACTCTTTCCAATCTTCTCAGCTGGATTTTGTCATCCAATCTTATTACTTCTTTTGCCAAGCCACGAATACCCTCAAAGATAACATTCGATCTCTCCCATTCCAAAAGTCCGGCCTTTCCGCTAGCTCTTTGAACGAAGACAACTTCGTGTATGCCCATTCCCCAAGCAGGAGGACTATATCCAACAGAACCTTCATCTCCATCAAATACCGTTATTGCTACCCTTTGTCTTTTGCCGTTCCTCTTTTCTCCTTCTAACTGCTCACTTTCTTGTATTGCATTCGCATGATATCGTAACGCGGCTTCAGGTCCAGGTAGCCAACATAATTGACAAAGATCAATAATTTTCTCTTTGCTCAATTGATGCATCGGATTCTTCTTCTTGAGTGCTGTCGCAACAAAACTCAACAGGCCAACTGGAGAATCGCAAAGCGCATAAGCTATTGCATTTGGCTCTCTCAAACCAATACTCGTAACGGCTCCATATCCCATTCTCCTCTTCTTCCCACTCAACAACGACATTCTCGTCGGAATTTTGTGTTCCTTTTTCCTCATCTGCAAACTCAAGTTCTTCCAATCTCCTTCTTCATACCCCCAAACTCCCGCGTGAAAAAAAAATGCCACCTTCCATCTTACCCAATCCCAAACTCCTTCTTTCACAGTCGGAACTCCCCATCTCGGTTCAATCAAATGTACACCTCTACAGCCTTCCAGATCACCAATCCCCCTGCCTAAATGATAATCCACTTCCCCACCCTTCTCTCGCCCAGACCCCATCATTGAAGCAATATAATTTTCATAACCTAACCTTTTCATCAATTGCCCAAATAATCTAGCTGTCTCCCCCATAACATCTGCTCTAGATCCAGGTATCTCATCGCTAAATCCCGTACCTGGTATTGATGGTATTACAATGTCAAAAGCCTGTTTGTGTCCCCGTCTCTGTCCGTTTCCGTATCCTGGAACATCCTCCCCCAAAACCTCTGGCTCACATAACTCCTTACTCAACCCTTCTACATCCAAACTCAAATTGCTATTTGGAAAACTTGGAACCAACAACAGCGGAACTGCATCCGCGCGAGAACTGCGTATGTGTATGAAATGAATGCGTAGCGATTGACTCGATCCTTCTTGAGCACTGGTGTTAGACTTCGGAATTGTGAATGTAGTGCGATATTGCGGGTATGTGGAATTATAATAATTCTCCCTTGTACGCCAGGAATAGTTTTCTAGCCTGTGCTCATGATCATATGTTAGCTTTTGCTTTTCCTCATTCTTTATCACAGTTTCCAGTCCTGTGATATATAATGGACAATAATCTGGAGTGTGCATACCAATAATCAACCAAGCTCTCAATCTCCCTCTTGGTTACCACACCCTCTTCATTCAATTGCTCACTCTCAGCATCCCCTCCACTTTTCCCCTCCTCTTCCCCTCGCCTTTCGTGCGGCAATCGCGTCAATTCCAATTTCTTCTTTGTTAGATCAAGATATTTCGAACTAACCTATTATTTTGCCATTAGTCCTCATTACATTAGCTCCCTCCATCCCATGTTCATCACATGCCATTGCTGATCTCCAACTCAAACATGATGCGCCATTCTAGTTCCCATAAAAAGGGGTGAAAATGATTCAAAGCGTACTCACATGAACTCTATATTTCTTTATCACCTCTTCCGCTCCCCCCGTCCCTGTAGCTTCTCTTTCATGCGCATGCTCCGCAACACTAGGAAGTGCCGCGTTCCTCTCAGTTTCCATGATCCTCTACTTAGCCCAATACTTTCCTCGGGCTTCCAAGTGATGTATGTACAGTGTGTAGTGTATTTTATTTGCGCGCGCGTGCAGATGAGAAACAAAATCACAATTTCCTTCTCTGTTTAGACAGAAAACTGAAGTTCTAAGCGACTCTTCTCCAGCATCAAAATTGAAACACAGAATAAAAAGTGACCAAATCTCACCTTCGAACTTGAAGCGATAATGTTATCTTTCTTTAATATCCCAAGAATTGAATAATCACACATTATCAGAAAGGACCCTCGGGAGCTCAGCTTATGGAAAGCTTGAGCCACAGATGTGGCGTAAGCTTCCGGCATCCACGTGCAGCCTATCAGATGCATTAGAGTACCGACCTCGGAAATGATCTTCAAGCACAGCCACACTTCTATCCGTTACGCATATTCTAGAATTTGTCGATCGTGAAGATCAAGCAGAAGTGACTGGACAGGAAATACAAGTTTAAATCACGGAAAAATCAAGTAAGAAATGTTCACTAACCGATAGAATGCACAGCCACACTTCTACAATACCCGTGGACTTCAGATGGATCTTCTGGCTTATCTTGAGTGTTGAGGATCATCAAGATCTGCACTAGAAACCCATGTGCACTAGGTCCAACCTGATATTTTGGTCAATTAAAAGATAATTCATAGGTTGTATTACATTATATGTGGCGCTTTTTCCACAGAAAGAAAAGAGAAACAGCCTTTTTAGTAGGATCTAGTATGTCTAAAAAAGGGCACAAGGGTTCCTTATTGCTATCAGTGTATCTTATGTGACTCGCCTAGTCTCTTTTCCTCTTCCTATACGCCAACGATGAAGAGATTCTCGCATGTGATTTGCCAAATTGCATGCATGTATGCCAACAAACTCTGCCGTATACGATACCTAACATGCTAATCTATCGCCGATCAATCAAATAATCGCACTCCTACCCCCTAACGGTGATTCGTTTCTAGAAGATCCTCCGGTGCCAGTCCTCACAATGCCCCCTCCAACGCCGCCACTGCTACCAGACTGGGTTGAAGTCGTGCCACCTTGTGCCACACCCCTCAAATTCATGCTACCAAGCCTACTCACAATATTGCTACCCACAGCGTCAACTGCACCCCTCGGGGAACTAAATGTAGGTCCATGTGCTGCTACTTCTTGAACTCTAAACAGCTTTATTGCTGTGCCATTCCAAACACCTATTGTACCCTTCGCAACCTGCATTTCAGATGTGAATACAAATGCCCATAGCAGGGATTCGTACCAACCAAGCGATAATGGCGTCCACTCAAAAGAATGAATACGAATGGCTGTAGTCTCGATTCCTCTTATCTCGGCCTTTTGGATGGTGCGGAGGATATTATTTGAAGGTGTGTCGGAAGGATTATTAGGATTTGAGAGGAGAGAATCGATTTGATCAATGAGTGTTAAGATTGTATGAAGTGGAAGTTCTGGAAGCCATGTTTCTATCCACTGAGGCGTAGGTTCAAATGCACCGCTCGATGAAAATGCTGCGTAGCTACTTAAGCTCGTTGTGCTATTGTGCCTAGAGAAGGTGGGCATGCCAGCTGTTACTAGTTAGTAACCTGTTCGGCGACCAGATGCAGAAATACATACCAGGCATTTTCCCCCTGGCTTTTTCTGACATTCCTCGTAGTTGCGTAGGGACTGTGTCATCAATGCTTGAGGATATCGATGAGGCCCTTGAAGGGTGGTCTGTGGGAGGTGATGCTGCTGGAGTGGGACGTTCTTCAACGTCGCTATCTTCATCGTCATCGTCTCCAATAGCAAACGTATCCTCCTCTGGCACATTACTAAGCGCTGATGCCCCTCGTGCATGACTTATAGATGGGCTTCGTATACTATCAGCGGAGCCTCTCCTACTGTCTACGTCCCCTGATTCTGCTAGACGTTCTTTCTTTCGCCTGTTTCTCCTTTCTATCTCTTCTTGGCCACTTTTCAAAGTAAAATGACGTAAGGCTAATCCAGATTTAGTTGACACTCAAGATATGAGGAGTGAATCTATACCTTCAAATTTCTTCTTATTTCTCAAAATAGCATACACAAAATTAGGGTTGTCTAGATGGATAGTCAGTATCTTATCTTTGCAGAATAAATAATGATACTGGGGTAACTCACTAGGATACTGGTGCTCGATGATAGCATTCATACTCTCCAAAAGAGACTGAAGGAGATCATGATTACTGTCGTTCGATAAAAGGAACCCTGGTGATGACATCGACGCAAACAATTGCAGAAGTTTTGAAGACGTGGGAGCGCTGATATTCTCCAGATAAGCAGCGATGTTATTTATCACTGCTAACAAGGCAGGGTATATGGCTGTGAGTTTTCCTTGACTTGTTGTTATTATGTTGTAAATTGACTGTTCTTCGTCAGTGTTGCAGTATTAACTTCCGAAGAAAACCTACTTGTATGAGGAAATCGGCATATGTCCCATTGAATGACTGAAGCCTGATACTGGGCGGTAAAGTATCCTGAGCCTCAAATCTCTTGTTAAGATTCTTGCCAAAGTTTGGTTCTACACTTAAGGTCTGTAAGATGAAAATACACATCCGTACAACTCCTTGTTTGGAGGCATCTAGTCTGTATTCGAGGGAATAGAATATGATTAAAATAACGAAATCGTGTGATCGATCAGTATCAATCAAAAACGACCTGAATCGTTTGTTGCATTGGGTGATTTCCCAGAATAACATGATCATCTCCGAAGCACATTTTGCGTATGATTGATTTCCTGGAATATAGGAGCTCGTGGTATTCATAGGCTGGTTCAAGATTCTTGTCATACCATCTACAATGAATTGAAAATCTTGTGGCCTATGTAAACGGCCAAGAAAGTGTCGGAAATAATCTAACAATGTCAATTGAAATCTACAAGCAGAACTATATCAATATCTTACTTTTCTTGGTTTGAGCAGGGCCGGATTCGGGTATCGGATATAGGAGAATGGCAAGCAAAAACTACGAGGTTCGAACATCAGATTCTGAAATCAATGGATAGTATGCTGACTGACCTGCAATGCGTATGTGACTAGAATCTGTTTTGGGTCTTTGAAAACTTGTACATTATATGGCACTTGCCATTTTGCTGGGTTGTATTTCAAAGTCTTCATACATGTTAGTATTTGGTTATAAATGAGGATAGTGTGACCTTACCGTGTTCAGTAGAGAGCACAATACAGATAACACAACCTGTTTGTCCGGACAAGTAGCGATATATGTGATGGCTTTCACGCCTTGTACAGGAAGTAAGTTTGCCGACATGTACATACTCTGACTGGTTAAAGTCAAGAGCAATCTTAATATCTCGGTGCGGTTGTTCTCAAATTCTTTACTAGTACCCACTGGTGTATTACATCCTACTCCGCTTTGCCAAATGGCATACGATACTTTGTTCTTACTGTTCTGCGGTTTGGGGAGGGTGAAATCTGCAAAGAACAACAAATCGATCAAAGTGTCGATCAATTCTTCTGCCAAGGGCTTTACCTCTTCAAATTCTTGCGCCGCAGCTTCGAGCTTCTGTAGTTCTTCCTGGGATTCATCAAATATTACGTCTCGGGCGAGGGCTGCCTTGCTACAACATAGTCAGTGACTGAATCAACCAACATTAATCTGCGACTGTGTACCGTGTCCGCTTCCTCCTCACGCCCCAAAAGAATGTCTCCTCCCATGATTGTAGTTTTTCAGCTTCGTATACGTATGGCAGAATGCGTGTGAGGATTCGAATACAATTCAATGCATCTCTTTCCGGAGCAAACTCTGGATGAGGGAATGAGGGGTGATGGCGGAGAACAAAAAGTCGGCTGGTTATTGCTAATATTAGAGTCTCTAGGTTTTCTAACGCCGTATCGCGAGTTCTTCGAATATCCGCAGGGGAGAAGAGACTGAAAATGTCTTCTGTGGATTCTGGCAACTCCCAAAACTATACAAGGCTCAATTAGTAATAACTTCAGCTGAAGATGTGCGATCAACTCACAGAAGCCCAATATGGGTCATCGGCAGGAATGATCTTGTCCTCTGAAAGTCGGAAGATGCCCTTCTTAAATACTAGTTTCGAGTCGGAAGCTCCCATCCTTAATTGTGTTTTGCATCTGGAGCTGGAATTGTGGCCGTTGTTTGATATGTATGTAATAAATGTTCTAGATTGTTGACGAAGCTTCTTTGTACTGGACGATAAGATAGCCTTCACTGGAGCCAATCTTCACGTGCTAGCGAAGATTTATAGGTATCACAGATACCACGTACAAAACATGAAATTTTCTGAATCACATACTCAATTGAATAGTGTCTTGAGACAACCCAACAATCATCAGGACAATGTTTAATACAAAATTTCAATAATGCAGGTTCATGTCAAAGTAATGCGGGCCACAAGGGTATCTAACTATATCCACAATCCATCAAGTCTAAAATCTATGTATACAATCGGGCATTGCCTGAATTTCTCCTTCCCTTCTCGTAAAGCCATTTGTTATTTAACCCAACACTTGACGGTTTCGCAGCACCTAATGGACTTGGTGTACCAGGATCCCCAATAGATCGACCAAGAGGATTTGAGCCATATGAAGACCTTCGGTTACCACTTCCACTCATGAGAGTCTTCTGTAACAAGGGACTTGCACCTGGCGAATAGACTGGCCCCAGTGGATTAATCAAGCTTTCCAGGCCGTCTTGAGTGTGTGGACTTTCGGATCGTTTCCCGGAAGGACTTCCAGAAGCTGGGCTTCCTCTTCGATTCGCAGGCGAGCTGCTCAGGGGTGTTGACGTCCTCCTATATCTCGGTGGAGTAACATACTCCGACCCTGGAGTAGGTGGTCTTGAACTAGGTTTCAACCCAAGAAGTTTTCGTTGAGCAGGTGTCAAAGGTATATCTTCCATGTTGTCTCGTTTCGTGTAGAATGGGCGAAGTGCAACAACAATATTGAAAACGAGGCAGAATTGTATTATTCGAAAGCCCCAGGACGCAAAGATTGGAAATAATGCTTCGCCGAAGAAATAACCAGGGAAGCTGAGATCACAGTTAGCACATATTATTGCATTCTGGATCTGGTGTACCTACGTTCTCCAAAGTGTTTGTCCAAAGTACCATAACACAACAAATCCCACACCATTCCATACAAGTCGCCTCATGTTTTGATCTGTAAAAGTGGCCACATTCTGTCGTCTTGCGATCTCATCGAATTTGGGGTGTTTCCAAGTTCCAGTCTGCGGTGTAGATGGTTGTGGTTCTCCAAACCCCGACTTTCTCGCCGACGCTGGTGATGATCGTTGGGTTGCTGGTGTAGTAGGGGTGCGTATCATTGTAGACATCGTTGGGATTATACAAAGCCTTTAAGCTTTGTTGGGAGGTTGGTAAGCCCCTAGGTGTACCCGTTAGCAACCATGTCAAATTCAAACGTAAATAGAGGGTTTAGATCATGCTACTCACTTTTGATGCTGATAAAAAGCCAACTTTGCCTGTTTTTTATGGTTAGTATTATTTCAATTGACTTGACGATTAAATCTACGTTCGCATTGTTGTTTGTCGAGAAGGTTATCGAAGGAATAAAACCTTTCCTGGTAGTTCTTCCTGAGTTGTTTTGATCAAGAAATCGTGAATTCTGCTAAAGCTCAAGGCGCGCTTCTACTTTGGTATTAGCGCGACTTTAAACCCCTGTCCATTGATTGGTCCTATTGATTAGTGCCGGATATCATCACCCCGCCCCGTAGAAAGCTGTCGTATCACCAAGCAACCCCAAATACCCGCCCGCGGAGTTTCTCTTGAAACGAGTATTATAAATTGTTAATACTCACACTCATGAAGACACCTTCAACTTATTGTAGCTACAAATACGTTTTTTAGAAACATCTTTCAGGATGGGGTTCGATAATCTCATGCTCTATCTCGATGAGAGCATTACAGGTGTTCTCAGCGATTGGGATCTTTATTCAACCTTAATTGTTACTGTTCTCATCGGCTTCTTTGTGTACACAGTTATAACATCTCGCGATCCGGATTCACATCCTATGCTCTTAGCCCGTCAATCACAGGCATCTCCAGTCAGACAAGAAGGACAATCTGCCGTCTTCAGAAATCACACTTCCCCCCATGGCATACCTCTCAACTCAGGACTCAACGTCAAAGACCCTGGTGATTCGAAATGGACCCCGGGGCGCAATGGTGACTTGAGAGACATCTGGCGTAAAGCAGTCACTGGGGCTGTCGATAGGGAAGGGAAAGAAACTGGAGATATTGGCAGCCTCATTACAATATATGGTTCCGATAAACTAATCACTCACAAGCTTGGTTTGTACAGCATTGTGAATTAATACCTTCGCTTTACTAACTTTGATACAGCCGATGTTACTCGTCAGATCAACTTGATTGGTCAACATATCAAGCAAAATGGCGGAACTAACGTTGCCATATATTTACCAAACTCTATCGAATACATAGCAACGTTGTTCGCTTGTGCCTTCTACGATCTCAGTGCGATACTTCTGCCATATGACGAATCTCCCGAAAGCTTAATAGAATTGATACAAAAGTCCAAAGCGGATACGGTCATTGCAGCTGTTGGTTCTTTCCCATTTGATGTAGTGACAAAGTCATACCCCGCTTTGCAGCAAATGATATGGGTGGTGGATGATGGCAGCAAGCATATGGACTGGAATGAAATTCCAAAGGGTACTGGCGGAGCTGTGAATGTTTCTACCTGGCAAGAGATTCTTCAAGATCAGGAGGCTCATGCAGGTTCCGAACTTCCCGTCGTTGACAAGAATGATAAGGAGCCTAACAAAGTCGTTGCATTCTGGCCTAATGGAGAACTCGTGGAATACACTCAATCAGTGCTGGTGGCCGGTGTTTCCGGTCAACTCTCCTCCATACCCACTATTCAACGTATCACATCTAAAGATCTTTTCCTCTCAGCGGAACCACTATCAAAGATCTATCCTTTGATCCTAACTCTTTCGGCACTTTACTCAAATTCTTCCGTCGCATTAACATCTGTTGCCATCAAAGACCCCGATCTCGTTCTAGCAACGAAGGGTACATCCCCAACGATTGTGGTTGCTTCTTCCACCACTCTCGCGAAACTCCACTCAGAAACCAAGGATAACTTAACTTCCCCACTCTATCAAGTCATCCACTGGTTTCAAACTCGATCCTTGGTACAGAATGGTGTTATGCCCCTTGCCACCGTCTTTTCCCGCATGTACGATCATCTTCGCCCAATCATTGGCACAACGCCTGGGAAACTTCGCTTAATTTACGTTTCCGAACCTGTTGGTGCACCGTCAACACCTTTGAGCGCCGAAATGCTCTCAGATCTCCGTATTTACACAGGCTCAAGAATTGTGTACGCCCTTACAGCATCAAAGGTGGCAGGCGCTGTCTCTCAAACTGGTATATATGATTACAGAGTAGACGATGGTTCAGAGAAATACTCGCACTTTGGAGCGCCTCCTCCATCCGTCGAGATCTTTTTGAAGGATACCAAGGAGTATCAAACATCTGACACATTTTCCGTTGGACAGGTATGCTTCCTCCTTTTCAAAAACTCCTTACTATCTTCCTCTCCTCTTTTGCGGGTACATATCAACTAACCTTCAACAATAGATCACGGTAAGAGGCCCTGCCGTCGTAGGAGGAGAAGCAGACTTGGGTATCGCAGGAAAGATGAAACCAGACTACACACTCGCTCTAATTTCATGATACGGTGGTGATGTTTTTGTGCATATTCATGGAATCGTTCATATCGTATCTGTCATATCAAATGAATCTAAATCCATAATAAAGCTCGGAGCTATCCGGAATGATCACATTGCAATTTTGCCGTAGTTATAATTCACTTAATCATACCCCCATGCTCAGAATCAGTCGTCTGTTGCACATCTAAAGACTTAGCTTTTGTATTAGCTCTCAGAATGAGCATTTTGTTGCGGACCTGGAAATTTAGCTCTTCCATTAGCTCTGCAGACATGGTAACAGTATTCAATACTGGCGCCAATAATATCCACTCATCGAGATGGCATTATTGTATTGTTGCACACCTCAAAACTTAGCTTTTGCATTAGTTGTAGTCCTGCAGGAATCACAAGCAAAAAATCCGCAATCAAGATGTTTTTGTTGCACACCTAGAAAATTAGTTGCAGTTGTTAATTTATTACCAGCCGTTTGTTGCATGTCAGGAATTTTAGTATGATCATATCTAATCTATAATCCTGACTAGAGGTCACTTGACGCTGGCAGGGACAAAAATCCGAGGCCCCTAAATATACTCGCTAGTAAGCCCATGAAGCAAGGCTAAAAGAGTGAAGGCTGAGGCTAAGGCTGAAGCTAAGGCTGAAGCTAAGGCTGAAGCTAACGGGGGCTAATTGGATGCGAAACAAACAAAACACTGGGATGTGTGGTCAGGACGGCTGGAGTGGGGACATGGGGCCGGGCAAAACGTTAAGGCTTAACGATGATGCCGCTGCCAGCTGGGATGTTTACGGTCATGCAGACGATAAAGGGGAATAGGAAGGGGAATGAATCAATAACGTGTCGAGGTAAGGAGCGCACACATATACGATAGAAGGATAATAAAGTTATATCAAATGACTATGTTAGAGTTGTACGTACATAGGTATCGTATGCATCTAATCAGGTGTATTATTAGGGATCGTTAGCCTTGATGATGATAGTTTTACCACACATCATTGTTTGTTGATAGCTCAATGTGCAAAAATGATACTGTTACTGATAAGTTGTAACTTTTTTTATTATACGTAGGTGGATCAAATAGTCAATGACTTAAGTCCTCGAGCCATGGTGAATTAATTATAAATTAAAATGAGATTTTCATGCTTTGAAAATATTTGCAGCTTAGTTGTCGACTAGGAAAATTAGTTACCTTCATTGCGCGTCGTTGCCATGTACCAATCCTGCCTATTGTTACCGCCTAGCTACCGTCTCTTACCGCCTAACCCCTAACCTCGCACGCCTAGCAAGCATCACTGACCCTAATGGTAAGCGAGATCCAGTACTAGACTAGGTCATCATGCCTTGAATTCGTCTAACTCGAATGCCTAAAGTGCCTGAACTTAGAGGCCTGAACTAATGTACCTAATGTCCCTAAAGTGATATTGGTGAGGCCGAGGGACGTGTTGGTGGTTTTAGGGCTTATAGTTCTTATGCTATTATAAGCTACCTACTAATGCGATCCCGGATGAGCAAAAGTATGACCAATTGAGCAAATTTCAGAATCATTATTAGCTAAAATAATCATGTTACACAACACCATAGCCTCCAATACCAAAACCATAACGGCAAAACTCAACGGAAATGATTGAGTCAAGACCACACCAACGCCAAACCAGCAACAATACCAACCAACATCAACCCAAAAGCAAACCACTCGAATCAAATTCGCATCTCAACACGAGCGATCATCCTCAGGATTCAAAATCCACGCCCCCGAATCCAACACCAAATAAACAAAGCGATGCCGCCGCAAGCGATTTAGCACCAATTGGTAGATAACCAACCACCAACCACCAACCAAGCAACTAACCAACAATATCCCACTTCTCATCACATTCCTCCTCCAACGCCTCCCATAACTCTCCATCTCGATCATTTCTCAATAGCACCAATCTCAAAGTATCTCTAGCCTTCCCAACTAAAATCATAAATATACAACAATTGTCAGTAGGTTACTCGCCATCCATCTGCGCGTGGGGACATGATCAGAAGAACCATGAACATGCATCCGCATCCAAAGTATATCGAGGCTAAAAAAGTAGACGAGCAACAAACATTCATGACCCTTTCACATTCCCACAAAGAGATCTCTAGTCCCCCGAACTAAAAACTAGATGTGCAACAAAGAATTTTCAAACCCTCGTTTCCCTATAAGAAAGATACCTATCTTTATAATGTAATAGTACACACAAGCTAAATATCAAATCCCCAAACCCTCACCCCTTCCTTCCTCCACACCACGACGAAACCCTCTCTAGTCCCTCGAACTAAAAACCCAGATACGCAACAAAGAATCTTTGAACCTCTAGTTCTTCTATCTAATCTAAATTAACATATTCATATCGTAATAGTACATACAAGCTAAAAATCAGATACGCAACAAAGCGGTAGTGCATAGGTATCTAGGTAATGAAGCGAGGAAAAGGATGATTAGTCTCTTGAGCTAAATTGTAGATATGCAACAATTTGATTTTTTGGGTTGGTGTCAATGATGATGGGAATGGGAATGGGAATGGAGGGATTGAGTATACTAGACAGGGGATTGTATAGATAGGGGTTTGATGGGTTGGATTTGTATTCGGAT